CTACTACTACTACTACTACTACTACTACTACTACTACTACTACTACTACTACTACTACTACTACTACTACTACTACTACTACCCTTCCTCCTCCACCTCTTCCTCGTCTTCCTTCCCTCCTGGCCGCCCCCGATGTTCGGACCCTGGCAGGGGTCTGGGGCACCATTCTGGGCTCAGTGGCCTTGATACGCCCGTTTTGAAACGCAACACGTGCTGTGCTTTAAACGTTCGCGTCAATACGTTGCGTGTTGGCTCAGCGTATTGGCCCACGTTTTGGCGACCGCATCGCTTCATTATTATCTGTGTGGAGCTCCATATCAATACGCCATGTGTTGTGTGTTGCGTATCGGGGCAGCTAAGGTTCTGAGTCGCCGGTGCCTCAACTCGCCCTCCTCCGAGCTGCGGTGCTCAGAGGCGTACTCGAGTGCACACGACCTTGCTGTGTCACCCGCCGCTTACTCGAAACGCGTACAGCGCTGGGCCATCGAGCGTGATTGCGTGAGCGTGCGTGCATGAGGGCATGCTGGTGGCTGTGGTGCGCGTGCGTAAGCGCGTGAGCCCTGCTGTGCCGGTGCTGCAGTTTCCGTTAGTGTGCCTATCCCCAGGCGTGCATGGGCACGCCTGCCTCGCCTGCGGCACCTGCTCCACCTTCGTTCAGCGATACCCTCCTCCTCCTCCTCCTCCTCCTCCTCCTTCTCCTTCTCCTCCTCCTTCTCCTCCTCCTCCTCCTCTTTTCCCCTCCCCTCCTCCTCCTCCTCCTCGCCTCCTCCTCCTCTCTCCTCCTCTCATCCTCCTCTCCTCTCCTCATCCTCCTCCTCCCTCCCTCCCTCCTCCTCCCTCCCCTCTCCTCCCCTCTCCTCCTCCTCCTCCTCCTCTCTCATCCCCTCCTCCTCCTCCTCCTCCTCCTCCTTCCTCCTCCTCTCCTCCTCCTCCCTCCTCCTCCTCCTCCCCTCCTCCTCCTCCTCCTCTCCCCCTCCTCCCCCTCTCCTCCCCTCCTCCTCCTCTCCTCCTCATCCTCCTCCTCCTCCTCTTCCTCCTTCTCTCCTCCTCATCCTCCTCCTCCTCCCTCCTCCTCCCCCCCCTCCTCTCCTCCTCCCCTCCCTCCTCCCCTCTTCCCCCTCCCTCCTCCTCCTCCTCCTCCTCCTCCTCCTCCTCCTCCTCCTCCTCCTCCTCCTCCTAGGTACCCTGGCTGAGGTACCGTCCATTCTCCGTACCGAATGACCCCATCTTGCGGGCTCGCCGCCTGCGCACTCTTCCCGTCCCCTGTTCTCTCTGCCATCCCCCCCACTATCCCACATGGCATGGAGCTTTGTTGTACACAATGTGTGCTCGCTCGTGCAACATGGTAGGGCGGATGATGTCAGTGCAGCGTACGACACGAAGGACATACAATTCATCGTGGGCACCAGGCTGAGACGCAGATACACGGACGACACATGCACGAGTATCATGGACCGCACGCACCACATCCTCAATTGGGGTTACGGCCGGTCCCCGTTCACGACAGCGCATGCAGGAGTGCAGATTAGGTTGCGCAAAAGATCTCTTCGTGTTTCCCATATTCTAGCAGTGTATTCGCCACCTGCGGCCTTACAGGGCAGACTGGGGGCGGTCTTGTTGCGCTCGGGACGCTTCCATTTATTGTGCTTCGTAGTCTACTTTCCACCGCGACCTTCGACTGCGCGACGCAATCTAGTATATAATAAGACGGTGGACGCCATGATCGAATGGATGCGCAAGATCAGCTGCGAGCAACCAAGTAGGTGTTCAATTATCTTCGGTGGAGATGTAAATGATCATTCAGGCATCCCTCCTCCCGATCATGTAGTTGACGCTATGAACCCGATAGGCCCGCTTAACCCTGCACAGGAACACTACTGCATGCACAAACTCCGTGGATACATGGAAGACTTCGGCCTCTGTCTCGTCAATACGTATATAGGTGGACAGGCGACCTTCTATGGACGGCAGTCTCAAAGCAGAATAGATTACTTTGGCGCTCCCTATTCTTGGTTGTCTCATGTTCGCAAATGCCGTATTCTAGAAAAACAGGGTCGAGCACTTCAACTTGTTCCGATTCGTCAGCGATGGGACCACTACCCGCTTCTTGTACAGGTAGACTACATCCTTTCGTTCCCGCATTCGCAGAGGAGGAAGAAGGAGGAGAGGTGGGACATGGACAGGATGGTGGAAGGAGTGGTGAAGGGGCTCTGGCGGGGGCGGTTCTTGAAAGAGGCGGAGGACATGTGCTACAATACTTATCCCCAATGGAAAGCACTTGAGGGTAAGGCTACGCCTGATCAAGCTTGGGAGGCACTCATATCAGCGATTCGACCATTAGCTCTTGGGTACTTTGCTCAGCACGTTCACGAACATGATAGCGCATATGCCCAGGCACGGCAAGCACAGCAAGATCTTCTGCGTGAGCGCGCACGTCTTCGGCAATACATCGGCACACTCACTGAGGAGCAGCAGCAGGAGCTCACCAGCACGCAGCAACAGCTTTTTAGGATCACTCGGCAGGTCAGGAACGAGAGGAAGATGAAACAAGAGCTGAGGATGGAGGATCTAGCTGAGCAGCTTCGAGAAGCCCTACAGCAGCAGCAGTGGAGTTATGCACATAGGCTCACACGGCGCTTAGCATGCACATCGGTGGGTCCTGGGAAAAGGTTCTACAACACACATTTGTCGTATAGGCCCACACGTGAGATATGGCGCGAGCATCCTGCACAGCCGGGACGAGAGGGTGGCCAATCGTGTGAGATGGTCGAAGTGGCCAACTTACCACCTGATCGACATGAGGAGGGCCTGGGTTACGACATGTATGAGCCTGGCTTTAAGGACGAGGCTCTGTGTGATCTCTCTGGAGTCCGTGCCGCTCTGCTTAGTATGAAGTATCGCAAAACGGTGCCAAGCTGGAGCCTCCCCCTCGAGATCTTTCGGATGCTGCTCCACCCCACTCGTCGTGATCGCAAGTACCGTGATCAGCAGCAGGCTTTTAGTGCGGATATCCCTTCCATGAGTTGGTTTGACAGGCGCGTGAGGGGGATCTTGTGGGACGTCAGGGGCAGCTGTAAAGTACCCCTGGATTGGTTGAGGTCGTCAGGTTGCTGTCTCCCCAAGCCGACGGACAAAACGGGCATGAAGGCATTACGACTCGTACATCGCACCTGCCCGTTCAGTAAAGCGTTCTCCAAGCATGTCGGTCGTCGCGGCGAGATCTGTTATTCGGATAAATTGTATCCCCTGTATCTGCATGGAGGCCTTCGGCATCGTAGGAGAGAGTCGGCAATCCGCATACAACTTATATCCAGTTGGCGATTGACACAGCTGAGGAAGTCACATTGCACCATATTCTATGATCAGGCCAACGCGTTTGGCAGTATAGCGGCTACCGCCTGTGATGACACGGACTATCTACATCTAGATCCAAGGGATATTTTTATTGGGCACGCATGCAATCACAATAGTATCATATCATTGGAGTGCGTGGATGGGGAGGGACATTTTCGGGTGGGTGAAGGGGTTCTGCAAGGCCAACAAGCAGCACCCACTAAATACACGCGCACGTTCGATAGATGTGTACTCGCCCCGTGGATTGACCTCCAGCATGCCAAGGTTGATGGTCAGCACCTCATGTGTTCAGACCCCCTCGGAGAAGACCCAGAAGCACAGGTTGACATCAGCACGACGGTATTCATGGATGATATAGCTCACAAGTGCGTGTCTCGAACAGCGGATGGAATGGTCAAGGCTGTGAATGGCGCGAGCCAGGACTTAGATGAGTGCCTGTATACAGTAGGAGGTGCACAGAATACCAGCAAGCAAAATGTCGTTCCTCGATTTGTTGGAGTTGGAGCCCACATGCAGTCGAGACGCTTCACATCTGCACAGTATACGCGTGATGTAGCCGGCCAGGTTTGTCAGCATGCACCATATCTTGGCATTCACTTTCATCATAATTCAACTACATCACAACAGAGGCTTGCAATCAAGAAGCATATGTATAGGGCCTGGTACTCCATGGGCAACTTTTGGTATCGTCCTCGAATTCCTCGGCATATCTTACTGATTGTGTTCCAGGCGAGGGTCCAGGGTGCGGCTTTGAGTGGCATGGAAGCTTTCATTCCCTGGGCGAGTGACTATGACATGATTGATGGGTTGTTGCTGATGTGGGGGAGGAAGCTTCTTAAGGGGGACGCTGCGCTGAAACAAGCTCGGCCTGATGGGGGCATTAAATACACGGCGTTGCAAACACGACAGGTGTGGGGGAGGCTGGGCTTGATTCCATCTCAACTGGAATTACGAATAAGACGGTTAACTTGGCTGCAGCAAATCACACAACATCGGCAAGAAAATCAGCAACTTGTGGCGGCAATGTTTGGGCAACTTCCAGATGAGCAGACCCCGACAGTAACTGATTGGCAGCTTCATCTTGACTCCGATGGTAAGTTCCAAGGGAACCCCTGGGCTCTGCAGGCGGCGAATGACATTAGTTCGATTGTTCACCTTGAAAAAGGCAAAGAGCTTTTAGATGAGATGGAGGGCAAGGTTTTCAAGGTGTTCACCCCGCAGTTCAGCGCGAAGTTCCTGAAACTTAATGTCGCTAAACTACGTCAGCGTTTTTGGGAGGGAGTTATTGATGCTAGAGGCCGAGCACTACACGAACCTAGGGATGTACAAGATGAGCAGCTACCTGAACCGCCACCTGCACCTGTCTGGGTATGTAATGAAACTACTAGTAGTGGGGCAGTATGTGGACTCACGTTTGACTCGCAAACTGCGTGGTACGCGCACATGCGCTTCACCCGAGAAGGCAGCCATGGTCATCGTGCATTAAGCCAGCTACTTACAATAACTAACCAATGCCCTTGGTGCATGAGTGTGCATGCCACGCGCGCTATATCCCAGCAGCATGTTCGGCGGCTATTCCTCAATCATGCGTGCCATTGTGATCGCAGCCCTGTGCAGCATGAGGTAGTCCAGCCCTTATCGCTAGCCTGCCCGGCCTGCGGTCTGGAACACATTGCTCTCGAGCAACTCCAGAGGCATATCAGAACACACATTGAACTGCCGAGTACAGCTCAGTTCGTCTTCACTGCTGATGTCGCTGTGGGCGCTGGCAATCGACCAAGGCAAGCTAGCGGAGGCCAAGAAGCGGCTGGCGACGGACTCTCCCAAGATCTCCTTCGGCGGTGGCTCCAACGGCGAGCGCCCCCCGCCCCAGAAGAAGGGGCGACAGGGAGGCGACGCAGGTGCTGCGATGATGGCCGTGGACACCGACGAGTCCGATGGAGAGACGGCGACGGACCTGATCAAACTCCAGCTCAACACGGCTCAGCGCAACAGAGCGCTGGAGGGCTGTCTCTTGTCGACGCAGCTTCTTCCTCAGGAGAACGAGCTGAGCGCGGTGGCGATCACGACGATCGAGCAGTACATGGACGCAGACAAGGCCAAGCCAGCGGATCATGGTCAGGGTCATCCAGGCCTCGTCTTGTGCATGACGATGATCGAGGCGCTGGTAGGCAACACCTGGCTTCAGCAGCAGCAAGATGTTCAGAAGGAGCTGAAGGCCCTCACCGAGTTCGTGAATACGATCAGGACGCTGCCGATGGTGACGGCAGCAGAGTATCTCAAATATTGGAAGGTCAAGGAGGTATGGGCGGAGAAGGAGGTGGCCATCAAGAACCGCATGGTGCGCCACACCTACTTCGTCAACGCGTGGACGACGCTGGGGGGCGGCACCTTCATGGTGCCGATCAATGGCGTCATCACGGCGCTCCTCGTCAAGATGGGCAGCCAGGCCAAAATAGGACCGCCCCCCAGGACGACGCAGGAGAGGAAGGTGCAGGGCAGTCTGGAGCGGTTCCTCCGCAGCTCCAGGCATCGCAAGTCATGAGTAGTGAGCAGAGTGAGAGGGATGTGAGCACGCCGGGTGCAGCTAGCAGTGTTGTGAGTCGTACTGCTGTAGGCCAGACTGTGCTCGAGCGCGGGCGCGCGAGGTTTCGGGGAACGTGGGGGCCTCCTGAACAGCCCGTCCAGAAGCGAGGAAGACGACGCAGGGGATAGGGCCCTGGCGTTGGTTCCCTAGCGTTGCGTTTCAGACGTCGGGGGTATATATGCATTACCTGTAATGTATAGACGTGCGCAACTCTTAGAGGAGAGGTTTCGTGCCAATTACGTGCCCGAATGCTTTGTGCAGTTCTTTAGCCTGAATGAGTTTCGGTGGTGCCTACCCTCCTTCGTCCCTCTTGTCCTCCCTCCTCTCGGCCTTCCTTCTTCTGTGCCTCCTCCTCGTATGTGCCACCTTAGCTCTGCCTTGAGTTCGTGTTTGTTGCCTGATTTCGACCCGTCCGCTCCAGCCATGCGTCCTGGAGAGGGAGCCACGGGGGATGGCGATTGTTTGACATCGGCGGGGACACAGTGATCCCACGCCGCCCATCGGTCGCCGCTGATCCGTCGAGCAGGATTCAGGACCAGTTGATGCTTCACCACCACCACCACCACCTCCTCCTCCTCCTCCTCCCTCCCTCCCCCCTCCTCCTCCTCCTCCTCCTCCTCCTCCTTCCTCCTCCTTCCCCTCCTTCCCTCCTCCTCCTCCCCCCCTCTCCCCCTCCTCCTCTCCCTCCTCCTCCTCCTCCTCCTCCTCCTCCTCCTCCTCTCCTCCTCCTCCTGCTTTCCTTTCCCCCTGCCTCCTCCTCTCCTCCTTCTCGCTCCTCCTCCTCCTCGTCCTCGTCGTCGTCCTCCTCCTCCTCTCCTCCTTCCTCCTCCTCCTCCTCCTCCTCCTCCTCCTCCTCCTCCTCCTAACCCTCATAGCACGATGAAGACGTAGCCTCGCTGAGGCCCCCGTCTTCGCATTATACGGATCATGATCTCGGGCGGTGTGGCTCGACACATTTGATGAAAAGGCGCCCTCTCCCGAAAGCTTCTGACCCTCCTGACTTCGGTCCCCTCCCAAAGGGTTAGGGGTCCTTGTAATGTCAATCATCGGGGTGTTTTGTTCGGCTGTTTTGGGGGGCCTCCTGGGAGGTTTTTTTGTGCGCGCCCCAGGAGTGTCCAAAGGCCAGCTCTTGTCAGATTGCTGGCGACCCGAAGAAACAAAATGTGGTGGAGTTGCTGAGAGTTGCTTGTTAGTTTCGGCCTCTGGAGGCCGTTTCTGGGCTGGGCTCTGCGACCGTGAAATAAGTTGTTCTCTGAGGCAAAACCGTGATTTTGGGAAGGGGTCGAGAGGTTTGAGATTGTACAAAAGGTAACGACATGTTAGGTCTGGATCCGGCGCAGACTTGATAGGCCTCCAGGCCCCCACCCTTGTTTTCACACGCGTGCTCATGTCTCCTATTCCACATCGTTCTGTGGTGGTGGGCCCTCTCGTTTTGAATCAGCAGCGCCACGCGTCCTCCTTCCTTCCCGCTGTCCCATCCTCCTGCCTCTGCCCTCCGCATGTGTCCGCTTCGGCGTGCCCCTCACACAGTCCGTGGCCCCACACGAGGCTCCGCCGAAGGCTTTTCGCGGGACCGACCGCACGCGGCCCCCCCGAGCCCGTTTCGGTCGGCGCGCCACTCGCACGTTCTGAGGCCCCGGCAGGGAGCTCCGCCGCAGGTTTCAGCGGCACGGGCAGCGTGCGCCCCCCCCGCCAGCTCCACACACCACCCGTGCGCCCCGCGGCCCCGCAGGGAGCCCCACCGGGGGCCTCGGCGGGGCCGACCGCACGCGGCCCCGCCGCACACCCCCCTCGCACGCCCCGTGGCCACCCCGGGGAGCTCCACTGGGGAGCTCCACCGACCGCACGCGGCCTCCCCGACCCTGTCGGCACCCCCCCCTCGCACGTGGCCCCTCCTTTTCCTCCTCCTCCTCCTCCACCTCCTCTCCTCCTCCTCCTCCTCCTCCTCCTCCCCCTCCTCCTCCTCCTCCTTTTTCCTCCTCCCCTCCTCCTCCCTCCTCCTCCTCCTCCTCCTCCCCCTCCTCCTCCTCCCCCTCCTCCTCCTCCTCCTCCTCCTCCTCCTCCCCCTCCTCCTCCTCCTCCTCCTCTCCCTCCTCCAAGTGGGGCTGTGAGACAGGTGAGCGGTGTGCCGAAATGGGCTGGCGGACGCTACGTTGCACCGTGCCACCGAGGCCGTCGGCGGAGCTCCGCGTGGGGCCACCGACGCCTGAGGGGTGTGCCGAGACGGGCGGGGGAGCGCCACACGGAGCGCCAATCCACCGAGGCCCTCGGCGGAGCTCCCCGTGGGACCACCAAACCTGTGGGGGGGGGGAGGGTGCCGAAGCGGCCGGGGAGCGCCCTGCGGTACCGTGCCGGAGGGACCTCCGACGGAGCTCCCCGTGGGGCCAGAGAGAGTGAACGGGGCGAGCGGACAGGGGCGGGGGGACCGCACGCGGCCGCTTCCACTTGATGCCTCGGCGGAGCTGGCTCTCTATTTGGGCCACGGAGCGCGTGAGGGGGGGGGGGGGGCGCACGCGGCCCGCCCCACGGAGGCCTTCGGGGGGGGAGCTCCCCGTGGGGCCGCGGAATGGGCGGGTCCGCGTGGCGGCACCGCCCCATTCCAGCACACCTCTCACACGCTTCGCGGCCCCAATCTGCATCCGCATTGCCCCAGGGTCCATCGTTCTCGCGGTGCGTCACTTGTGACAGCTTGGCCATATTTTGCATTACTCGCAGTTGCACAGGGTTGGGTCCTCCGCCCGCCAGGCCAGTTCTTAGCCTGTCGCTTCCAGGCGGGTTGAAGAGGTTTCAGCAGACCACATCGTCCCACGCCTGCTCTAAGGCGACTTTTGCAAGAAGGTATCAGGCTGAGAATTGGCCCAGGACGGTCCCTAGGCGGACCCAAAGGGCTACAAAACAGTCCAGCATTCCTCCAACGGCCCCTGGGCTGGTTAATGCAGCTGGAGGCTGCCCCAGGATGGCACGTCAGAATTTTGGCTCAAGCAAGCCGACCGCGTTGCAGACGCACCGCTCGGTGATAATCTTAGCCGAGTCCCACCATCACCGCGATGTCGTTGCGCTCCTTCTTTCTCCTCCTGCTGCCGTGCCTGGCGGTAGCAGCCGCAGCGGCTGGAGGTCGCACCGAGCCGTGCAATGGTGGCGTATGTGATGCGGGGGAGGACGAGACTGCGGCCCTTCTGCAGAGCAGTGTGGCGAAGACGGCCCTCCCCCCCTCGAGCAGCGCTGCGCAGGAGAAGACGCACGTCACGATCAGGAGGGCCACCGTGAGGAAGTCCATCAGCATGTCCGACGTGTGGGACCAGCTGACCGGTTCCGTGCAGATCTCGAAGAAGAGAACGCTGCATGGACGTAAACTTTCGGAGGGGTCCTCGTGGATTTTTGTTGGATCTGCGCTTGGCCCCACTGGCGGCGCCTCCAGGCTCGCCCCAGGTACTTCTCCGAACGCCAGGGAGGGGGGTCCAACCTTGGAAAGTTTATGTATGTGCAGTTTGTCTTGCTTCGACAATCGACGAGCTCAAGCAGACGGTCGAGAACGCCGTTGGTGAGAACAAGGAGAAGCTCCTCGCGGAGCTCGACAAGCTGGAGAAGGCGTACCCAGCGGCGGCGGAGCTGAAGGAGACCTCCCCCTTAAAATCAAATTAAACCAGGCAGTTGCTAACCCAGACTTTTGGTATTGACATTCCACGTGTGGAGAACGGACCATGGAGAATGGTCCGATCCACGGTTGGAACTTGTCAGGAAGCACGAATGCCCTGGTTCATCAGAGTCCATGTTGAGGGGCTCCTGAGGAGAAGTTCCTGGACCAGTGGGACAAGATCGTTGAGGCCGTGAACCTGGACGAGGTGAAGAAGCAGGTGGCGGAATGCACCGAGGACGTTACCTCGTGCGCTCAGGACAAGCTCAAGGAGGTGCAGGGCAAGATGGAGGATGCGCTGAAGGCTCATGGCGTCACCCTCGACGGCATCAAGAAGCAGGCCGAGGATGGGGGGGGCATCTCTCTTTCTCTCTCATATGTATGTGTATGGATGCATGCATACATGTATGCATGCATGTATGTATGCATGCATGCATGCATGTCTGTTTGTGTGCGTGTATGTGTATGTGCATGTGTACGCGTAATTGTATGTGTATGTGTATGTGTATGTGTATGTATATGCATATACATGTATGTATGCATGCATGTATGCATGTATGCATGTATGGATGCATGCAGGTATGTATGTATGCATGTGTGTATGTATGTGTATGTATGCATGTATGTATGTATGCATGTATGTATGCATGTCTCTAGGTATGCATGCATGTATGTACGCATGCATGCATGTTGGTATGTTTGTATGCTTGTTTGTTTGTATGTTTGTATGTATGTATGTAAGTATGTATGTATGTATGTATGTATGCATGTATGCATGTATGTATGCATGTGTGTATGCATGCACATATGTATGTGTGTATGCATGCATGTATTTATGTATGTATATATGCATGTAGGTATGTATGAATGTATGTATGTATGTATGTATGTATGTATGTATGTATGTGTGTATGTGTGTATGTATGAATGTATGTATGTATGTATGTATGCATGCATGCATGCATGCATGTATGTATGTAGGTAGGTAGGTAGGTAGGTAGGTGGGTATGTATGTATGTCTGTATATGTGTACTTATGTATGTACGTGGATATGTATGTGTGCATGTATGCATGTATGCATGTATGTAATTATGCATGCACACACGCACCTATTTGTAGTTTATTTCCGATACTGCTACGCGTCCCTCGTCGCAGTGGTTCGATTCGTTTCGAATTCATTGTCAGGCTAGTAGCAGAATCGGTATCAGGAGAGTGTTTTTTAGTAGTTGGGCCCGCAACGCTCGTCACGGGGGTTTCTCCCCCCCCGCAACGTTATGGAGCATATGCGTGGGTGGTGCTGGCTCGCCCTGAGGTATGGCGCTATGCTCACGGGCGGGCGGGCGGCCATGCTCTTGTGCGCACAAGCATGCCGTGGCGCTCGAAGGCATCCACGTCGCCCGGAATGCCAGGAACGCCAGGAACGCGGTATTGCTGCTGCTGCTGCTGCTCCGGCTGCTTCTGCTGCCCCTGTTGCTGCTCTTTGTTTTCCTGTTCCTCCACCGGTGTCCTCTTCCTCTCCTCCTCCTCCTCCTCCTCCTCCTCCGCCTCCTCCTCCTCCTCCTCCCCTCCTCCTCCCTCCTCCCTCCTCCTCCTCCCTCCTCCTGCTCCCTCCTCCTCCTCCTCCTCCTCCTCTTCCTCCTCCTCCTCCCTCCTCCTCCTTCCCTTGCTCTTCCTGCTGGTCCTCCTGCTGCTTCTCCCGCTGCTCCTCCTGTTGCTCCTGCTGCTGCTGCTCCTGCTGCTCCTGCTGCTGCTCCTGCAGCTGCTCCTCGTGCTGTTCCTCCTGCTCGTCCTGCTGCTCCTCCTGCTGCCGCTGCTGCTCCTCGGGCTGCTCCTCCTGCTGCTCCTGCTGCTCCTGCTGCTGTTCCTCCCCCCTTCACCTGCTGCTCCTGCCTGCTCCTGCTCCTCCTGCTTGTCCTTTGGCCGCCACTCCTGCTGGTCCTCCTGCTCCTCCTCCTGCTGCTCCTCCTGCTGCTCTGGCGCTCCTCCTGCTGTTTTGCTTGCTGCGTCTCCCGATGCTCTTCTTGCTGCTCCTTCTGCTGCTCCTCCTGCTGCTCCTGGCTCTCCTGCTCTTCCTGCTGCTGGTCCTCTGGCCGCCACTCCTGCTGCACTTCCCGTTGCTCCTCTTGCTGCTCCTGCTGCTGTTCCGCCTGCTGTTCCTCCCGCTGCTCCTCGTGATGCTCTTTTCCTGCTGCTTCTGCATCTGTTCCTGCTGGTCCTGCTCCTCCTGCTGCTCCTCCCGCTGCTCCTCTTTCTTCTCATGATGTTGCTCCGGCTGCTCCTGCTGCTTTCCTCCCT